CGCGGTTGTTTGAAATGGCGAAAGGGGGTGCGAGGGGAGGAGCGGCGCTGATGTGTGGGAGTAGGGGGAGAAATGTGAATGAAATAAACAGAAGGGAGGGCGGGGAGGCTAACGCCGCCATCTTTGTTGAGGCCACGGCGCCCGAGGAACCGCCATGTTTGCTCGTCTCGAGCGCGAAGTTGCCGGCACGTGACTTTCAGGGGGCGGGAGAACGCATAATCAGCGTAAAGGAGAACCTGGCGGTCTTGCCGTCCCCGTGATGTCACACTCGACTGATTTAATGTTTCGTGACGTCACAATGGTGTCATTGTTTTTACTGTTAATATTTTTTACCATTATTTATTTTCCAGAATCCAGTAAACAGAAGGTGACATTTAGCCTTGGGGAAATCCGTTGGTTTCCTGTTTAAGACATTTCTATACTGCTCTTCAGTTGTAGCAGGAACCCCCCCCACCCCAATCATTCTGCTTGTACAAACTTCACACACACACACACTCACACACTACATACGCCACATTTCTGTTATAAATTCATAGAAAATCAACCATACATCGGATTTGCACTGTTCCATTTTTATTTTACTCCATGTGACAAGAACTAACAAAGGGGCGGGTGGCTTAGTCCTGGTCAGCCATAATCCCTCCACCATCTCAGCACATCTCAGCACATCTGCAGGAGCCCTGCCCAGATGATCCCAGACAGAAGGCAATCAAGATCACAAAGAACTTGCATATGGGAGTGGATTCAGCATGGACTGAAACAAAGGATAATGATCAGATCTTCCCTCAGGGGGCAGGAAACTGCAAACTCCCCTTTGTCTCCTGGAAGTGACTCATGGGGAGGGGGGAAAGGAGGAACCAGCCAGGTGACAAGACACTCAGGTTACCACCAACTCCTCCCTCAACCCCTCCTTTCTGTAATATATGCATGATGTTTCTGGGGGTGGGCTTGACCTAGAGGAGGGGAATTTCAAAAGTTTTTATAAGACCTGGCACACTTTTTTCTGGGTCTTTCCTCTCTCCTGCAAGTGAGGGGAACACCCTGATGCATCAGTTCAATAAAGGCCAAGCCTACCGGCTGCTGTTTTGCTCCAAGTTATCCTGGTTGGTGTCTTTGTTTTGTCCAAGGGAGCCCTCGGATTTTTCTGGTAACACAGTAAAGATAATCCAGGCTTGTTTTCAGCAACAAAAATAATTCATAGCTGAAGGTAGAGTAAGACAGCATTAAAAAAAAACAACAACCAACAGAACAGAAATTTTAAAAGAGAATTTTTAAAAGGTTTTATTATTTTATTTAAGATACTATTTTAAAAGAAGCTCAACCCAGCTCATTTTAATGACGCACATTAAAAATATAATTAAAGAGCAGCAACTGTTGCAACATTACCTCATTCCCCAGGCCAAGTGCACCTATCTGTTCTCCTCACCTGTCCTGCTTCACACCCTCCTTGAATGTTTTTGCCTGGTTGGAATGTGTCCTCAAACTCTGATCATGTCTTTTCCTTCCCTGTATAGAAGAGAGGGTTGTGGGTAGAAACTAGCATACTGTACAAAAGGGAAAATTTACATTAACAGCTCCAACCACTTTTGTCTCTGGAACCACCCACCACTGGCATGCGGCAGCAGGAAACTTGTACATGTTTACCTTTGTATAGTAGGTTAGCTTGTGCAATCATTCGTGTTTCTCTATCCTCCATAGAGACATGCAGGAGGCATTTTTAGAGATCAGACTAGGGTTGCCATATTTCAAAAAGTGTAAATCCAGACACAAAAGTTGTTGAGCTTTTTTATGGGCCAAAGTTGCTATAAAGAAATGAAACTATTTTTTGAGCTATTTTGAAGGTCAGTCGCCCAAAACGACACTGCCGACAAGGGTTGCCATGCATCCGGATTTCCCCAGACATTTTGCAATTTCCACCTGGACACTGCTGCTGACCGTAGTATTCCAGCTGTGTCCAGACATATGGCAACCCTAAAGGGCACATTCCAGTCAGGCAAAAACATTTGAGCGTGCAAAGCAGGGCTGCTGAAGCAGGTGGCTGGGGTGGCCTGGCAAAAGTCCTGAGGGCCATATTTACCACCTCCTGGACTTTGACCCCCCCCCTTGATTTACTACAATTAGAAAATGTGTATTTTGCATGCTCTCCCCTCACAAGCGGTCAGAAATTCAGAGGAGCTTCCAAACTGCAGCTGAACACTATGATCTGCAATGACAATAAGGCCCAATAAACAAGCCTAAGGCAAAAGGGTGACTCAGGATACACTTTAATTATTATGCATCCCCCAAAAGAACATAGACAACTGTAGCATATTGAATTTTGGAGCAGGTGGAGAGAACACTAGAGAATTTTGCCATGTTTCAAGCACCTCTGTCATGCAAGGCAAACTGCACTTAATGCAGTATTACAATTATGATTAATTGAATCTATATCCCACACTTACACTGAGTCAGACCATCTTAGACTATATAGCTCAGTACTTTGTAAAATGATTATCGCCTCTCAAGAGTCTCCGATGGCAATCTTTCCCAACACTGCCTGCAGATGCCAGGGATTCTATAGTTCCCAGGATTCTTTGAAGGAACTATCGTGCTTTAGGTGGATGATGTATATACAGCCTCAGCCCGAACTAGATCCAGCACAATGAAGGGATGGCATTGTTTGTAAAAGCTAATCTAATTTCCATATGCAGGCTAAAGAGTTGCTTAAAACCAACACTGCTGTTGGTGAAATAATTTTTCACAAAATTACTTCTGCAGTGGTTATGCTTAGGGGCAGTTGACAGAAGCAATGTGGTTGGGGCATAAAACACAATATTTTATACATTATTACAGTAATTATTATAGGAAAGTAGGCTAACTTGTTTTGGCCTGATGGCTTCATTTGCTGTCGGCCAGTCCTCTGAGGGTCATATTCCAGTGATGGGTGCATCCGAAGTGGAACTGGAGAACCACACACAGCATTCTATATTATTGTATAATTTGTATATAGTATCAATGTGAAATTATGTCTTTCTAGATGATCAAGGAAAACTTGTTCCGAGGCTCAGTGAGGGCAGCTGGCCAGGCAGAGTGGCAGCAGTGCAGCTTCTAGGAACATAGGAAGCTGCCTTCATATTAAATAAGACAATTGTTCCATCTAGCTCTAGTCTGCAGGGTTTTAGGCAAGAGTGTTTACTAGCCAAAAGTGGAGTTGCCAAGGATTGAATGTGAGGCATTCTGCATTTAAAGCAGGTGCTCTACCCACTGAGGTACAGTCCTTCTCCATGCCCATAGCTACGTAAATATATGCAGCTACTGAACACTGTTGGTGGACGAGGAGGAAATAAAGGGCAGAGTAGATGGCAAGTCCCCCCCCCCCAAGCTTAAAATCTAAAATACAGACACTGGGAAACAGAAGAGCTAGTGAGGGAGAGAAGACTGAGCAATACATTATACTGTACATATACAGTGGTACCTCGGGTTAAGTACTTAATTCGTTCTGGAGGTTTGTTCTTAACCTGAAACTGTTCTTAACCTGAAGCACCACTTTAGCTAATGGGGCCTCCTGCTGCTGCCGCGCCGCCAGAGCACGATTTTTGTTCTCATCCTGAAGCAAAGTTCTTAACCAGAGGTACTATTTCTGGGTTAGCGGAGTCTGTAACCTGAAGCGTCTGTAACCTGAAGCGTATGTAACCCAAGGTACCACTGTAGTTTGGTTATAGCTGGAAATTAATATGTATTAAGGCTGAAGTCCTATGCACTCATACTTCTGAGCAAACATGCCTGCTAGTTTCAATTCTGTGCACACAAAGGCTGTGTTTCTAACCCCATTTACCTGGGACTAAGTCTCATTGAAAGGGACGCAGGTGGCGCTGTGGGTAAAACCTCAGCGCCTAGGACTTGCCGATCGCATGGTCAGCGGTTCGAATCCCCGCGGTGGGGTGCACTCCCGTTGTTCGGTCCCAGCGCCTGCCAACCTAGCAGTTCGAAAGCACCTTCGGGTGCAAATAGATAAATAGGGACCGCTTACCAGCGGGAAGGTAAACGGCGTTTCCGTGTGCTGCGCTGGCTCACCAGATGCAGCTTGTCACGCTGGCCACGTGACCTGGAAGTGTCTGCGGACAGCGCTGGCTCCCGGCCTATAGAGTGAGATGAGCGCACAACCCTAGAGTCTGGCAAGACTGGCCCGAATGGGCAGGGGTACCTTTACCTCTAAGTCTCATTGAACTCAGTGGGAGTTACTTCTGAGTAGACACAGTTTGGGGTAAAATTTGTTTCTTTAGGATACATACCACCCTTCATCATTAGATCTCAAGGCGGTTCAGATTCCCTCAACACAGTGGGATTTACTGCTGAATAAGCATGCATAGGATTGTGCAGCGAGCGAGGCTGCCAATCCTATGCGCACTTACCTGAGAGCAAAACCCATTCAACTCAATGGGGCTTACTCTGAATAAATATGCCTAGGATTGCCTTATATCAGCAAAGGGCCTTGTGGAACAGGTAGATTTGAGGAGCAATGAGAAGGAATTTATGGATACAACTCGGGCAGTAAATAGGAATTTAAAATCAGTTTAATATATTCTGTTAACAACTAAAAGGAATCCCAGGACGAGGACCCGCCTGTACAACGTCATCAATCCACAACATGAATGCACAATACAGAAACATATGTATAAATCCTGAAAATACATCATAATCGTTACTATTTTAGACCAACGTTTTGCAAAGGGGTCTCTCCACATTTATGCTGTAAATAACCATCGGTTGCATCTCCCCCGCTACACGCCGCTCAGAAACCTCGGGCGGAGGTCGGGTGGCGAAGCGGGGCTGCCGGCGGGATACAAACAAGCCCCGCAAGCGACCCGCCCTCCCCGCTAGACAGCAGCCGAGCCGCTCTGCCGAGTCACCGCCGGGCGGGTTCGGCCAGGCGGCGGGGGCGTGGCTTCCTCTGGCTCGCTCGCTTCGGCCGCCGCTCGGAGGAAGAGGAGGCGTGGCCTCGCCCGGGGATCGTTCGAAGTGGGCGGAGCTAGCGCTGCATCAGGACCAGTCGCCAGCTTCTGCATCCCTCGGAGTCGGGAGCATCCTCAGGGCCGCGGCAGAAGCACCGCCGCTGCATCCGCTGAAGGGGCCTCCCTGCGCGCACCGGGCCGTCGCCGCCGCTCCATTCGCGCGCCGCCATGGCAGAGATCGCCAGCGTCCGCCCCAGCTTCGGTGAGTGGGGCCCGTGGGAGGCTGCTGCGCAATTCCCTCTCCCGCCCCCGCCCCGTTTCTCTTTGCCTTGACCGTCCCCTCCTCCACCCGCTCCCCAGCGCAAAACACCGGGCCTTCCTGGGCATCCTGATCTCTCCGCCACCGCCACCCTCGCCGGATCCCACTCAGGCCGTGCCCGCCACCATAATTCTGCCTTGGCAAGCGTCCCATCCCTACCCCGGCCTCCCCTTCTATCCTTGCTTGTGGCAACTGGCACATCTACAAACACCAGCGCGCTCAGCAGCCAGAGAGGGCCTTGTTTGCGCCGTCGATGAGGCACCATCACCACCACCACCGCCACACGACCACCCGGCCTCCATCTCCGGAGTGGTGGGGTTTTTTTTGGGGGGGTGACAGCTTCTCCACATCCTTACTGGCACGCACACCATTCAGTCGTGCAAATAACGCGCGGCATTAGCAGGGCGCACGCTCACGAACCGACCGCCAACGCTGATCCACAGGGGGAAATCTCTCTCTCTCTCCTCCCCCACTAGCCCGCTGCAACATTAGGATATTCGGACTGTGTGTGGCTGAGAAAGAATGCGTTCAAAGAAGCCCACACGCAGTTTGGGAAAGATTCCCCCCCCCAATGTGGATAAGGAAACCCTCTTTGACTGCGCGATCCGATCCATGGAAGTCCCGCTGAGTTCATTGCTCCTAAGCGAGGAGGGCTATAGGATTGCAGCCTCGAAGGCCAGATTGCCAGCTTGCACCCCACGCCTCCTTGGTTCCCTTGTTCCCATTAATTTCATTTAAATAGTAATAATCCTCCAGTCTACACTTCTCTGTCTGGGTTTTGACAGCACTGGCCAACACGCGCACGCGGCCGCGCGCGCGGCCAGCAATGCCCAGCACCGCTCAGTATTCCACTTCCCTTCAAAACACACACACAATATCCCCATCAGCATTTGGGCAGTGTGGAAATCTTCACATCAGCCACCCTGTGAGGAGGTGGGAGCACATGACAGCTCCCAAATCCGGGGCCAGGTCTCCTCCGGGCTTTCCAATCCCCCAATGCCTTCCCCATTCGTCTTCGCGTGCTCTTCCCCGTCTCTCCCTTCCCGTCTCCCCGCCCCCACTCTCTCCTTGCACGGGCGTGCCTGGCCTTGGGAGCGGACTGGGTCAGTGCCAGGGGCAGATCCGAGCCCTTTGAAGAGATGCTTAGAGGGACACATGTGGGGTGGGTGGGTGGGGAGGCGGCAAGGCGTTGCCCTCTGGCCTGCTCTCCTCCTGTGGGGGGCTGGAGGTGGGTGGAAGGGAAGGAGGGAGCAGGTGCACATTGTGGTGGCTAGGAGGAGGGCAGGATGACGTGATGTCTATTCCGGGCCAGGCAGCGCCCCAGCCCCCAGATAGCTTGGAGGGGAGGGTGGGCAAGAAAACAGCCTTTGTTCAATGCACCCCCTTTTTTGCAGAGGTTGTGGAGCAAGCAAAGTATGGAGTTTCCTCACCCCCACCCCCCAAATTCACTCAAGTCGTTGCTTGCAAACCACACAGACCCTAGCCTGATGGCCTGTAACCTGGCCCAGCCACCCCATATAATTGCACCCCATCCATTGAGGGTTTGCTCAGAGACACCAAATCACTTCCTAACCCTAGCAGCTGCCCCCACCTCCATTGTTGAGACTCCCTGGGGTGTTCCCTCTGGGAGAAGTTTGAGGCCTCTCATCTATGCCAGGGATCATGATGCCTTCTCAGTCATCCAACAGTGGCTTTTTAAACTGCCTCTCGGCATCTGTCCGCTCCAATCCATGCAATAAGGAGCCACGGGGACTATCAGTGTGGCCTCTAGGCAGCTCCTCTTTGCCAGGTTGCAGCAAAGTATCTGGCAGGAGCATGAATATAAAAGCAAGAAGGGGGAGGGAAATAAAGCTATTCATTTCCCCCCACCCCGAAATATACTGAAATGTAGATAGAATAGGATCCTCAGACGTGTTTGCGGACCTTTGATGTGTATTAAAAATGTACCTGTGTGCCATTCAGTGAAAAGTCTCAGCTTATTTCGTCTTCTAATTCGAGTGCTGATCACATCTGCTGTCACACAATGGCAATTCTGAGAGAGAGGATCAAGGTTGCCTGCGTTTGTTAGGCCAGTGTGGAATGTTTTATGTTAATTAAAGCCCTCTTGGTTTATTTATGTTTTTATCACCAAAAGTGCGGCCTTTTATTGTCCTCTGGGGTGGAAGGCTGTGTTGTGCTACGGCCCCAAAGCTAACTAAGGATGCAGAAGTGATAGCATCCTCTCTCCCCAGTTAAGTCACGTGAACGACAACGACAACAACAAAAATCACAGGGTCTTAAATTCTGGATTTAGTTCTTCCAGAATAAATATAAGCACCTGGCTCTGGTTACTTGCAGTTACTAATGTAGAACATGGTCTCCACCTCATGTACAAGTGTGCATTGAGATAGCAGAGAGGCAACCCCAGTTGTTAATGATGGAATGGCTGAAATGGATTGAAAGAGAAGCAAGCTGGATTAGACAGATGTTATTATGTGTCCCCAATTAGAGTGTGCATACGTCACTGAGGATATTGTTTGAGGAATTTAAAAACGCATATGGGGGATTATTATTGTTATTATGGGAGTTGTGAAATGTGGGTGGCTTTGGAGGTTGGCAGTTTGTTTTTTGTTTTTTTGTTTTTTGGCAGATGTTTACAGTGCAGGTATATTCAAGATTTCTGTTTTACACCCCTATCATTTTAATTCATTGCTGCAGGAGTGACGGGCGCCCTGCAATATTGTCTCACAGGAACATAGGAAGCTAACTTGTACAGAGTCATACCATTTGTCCATCAATCTCAGTACTGTCAACACTGACTGGCAGCAGCTCTCCAGGGTTTCAGACATGGGGACAATTATCAGGCCAACCTGGAGATGCTGAGGATAATACCTAGGACCTTCTGCTTGCATACAGGTGCTCTACCCCTGATCTATGGTCCTTCCCCTGTTCATACAGCTTGCAAACACATACACAATCAGGCACATGCACATACATGCACACACCTCCTAAAGAAATATAGGCTTCACTCGTATAAGGAAATATAGGCTTCACCTCAGGAGGTTCTTCTGAGTAGGCATGTGCAAGATTGCACATAGCCACTGAATCACAGAAAACCAGTATTGCTTCTGACAGCCTTCTCCACCCTGGGGCCCTTCAGATATTGTTGGACTTCAATTCCCATTAGCTCCAGCCAGCATGGCCCAGTGGTCAGGGATGATGGAAGCTGGAGTCCAGCAACATCTGGAAGGTCCCAGGGGAAGACTGGTGTCTGTTATGGTGGAATTACAACACTAGTCAACTGCATACTTCCAACATTTTTCTGATAAAAATAGAGATGTCCTATTATTATTATTATTATTATTATTATTATTATTATTATTATTATTATACCCTGCCCATCTGACTGGGTTTCCCCAGCCACTCTGGGCGGCATATATTAAAACATAATAAACCATTAGACATTTAAAATTTTCCCTATACAAGGCTGCCTTCAGATGTCTTCTAAAGGTTGTATAGTTACTTATCTCCTTGGCTCGGGGGTAACATGAGTCCACACCCTCCAACATTTTCCCAATGAAAACAGGGACATCCTAAGGAAAAGCAAAACATTCCAGGGACCATATCAGAAACCAGAACAGCTTCTGTAAATCCAGGACTGTTCCTGGAAAATAGACACACCTGGAGGGTCTGCAGTTGTAGCTGCTCCTTGTTCCACAGGCTAATATGTTTACCTTACAGCCAGGAGGCCTTTAAAAAACCCCAAAATTTACAAAGGGCCATGTGCATGGTTTGATTACGTATACAGAAGGTGCAAACAAATGCTGCTGCCCAATCCTACTCAGCCGCCAAAATCTATCCCCAATAGCAGTTCTGAAAAGATGCTCAGGCTTTGGCCAGTTTTCAAAAGAAGGGAACTGCATAGGTCAGTGGTGGAGCACCTGCTTTTGAAGGTTCCAGACTCATTCCTCAACATTTCCAGTTAAGGCAGGGAATTGTCCACTAATGAAAATTCTGAAGCGCTGTTGCCAGTTAGCGCTAGACAGCTCAGAGCCAAGATGGACCAATAGTCTGACAATATGGTAGAATGCAATCCAACAGGCCTTAAATATCAGGGAGAGCCCATAATTTCTGGTAACTGTCTTTAAATAAGAATAAGAATAACGCTGTCCATATTTTGCATTTTGGGGAAAATACTGGGTTTCTAGAAGTTTTATCTCTGATTGTCCAGGATGGTGAGGCACAGATGTGTTTTAATTCTAATGTTCATGCACGGAGACAAAATGTCAGCAGCTGTAGCTGCCCACCCAGATAGTGAAGGCTGCTGAATGTGTTGCAATTGCAGCTGTTCTGTGCAAAGTACAACCAGATCCATTGTGAAGCTAAGTATTCCGTTTAAGCTTTCTTAAGTGTGCCAGGTTGGGTTGGGGTTTTGTGTATGTGTGTGTGGAAACAAAATGCAAATTGTTATGATAAAAGGAGTGAAGAGACTTGAAGAAGATGCAGTTTGGAAGTGTATATGCGGGGGGGGGGGAGCGGTGTCAGGGAGCGAGAGATACGCTGAGAATAGGGGGTGATAACAGAATCACTTAGAATCATAGAATGCACACAAGATCGTTCATGTTTCCATCTGCGATGTGTTGCCGTAAGGGCTGCATGGGTTTGTGCAAGTGAATATGATATTAGGGAATTTCTGGGTTTTTGTGAGCACCGTTCTTGAATGCAGATTTGTGTAAGTGAGTGTGCTTGTTTGTTTGCCTGTTTGTTTGTTTGTTTGTTTGTTTGCTTGCTTGCTTGCTTATTGTAATTATATCCCGCCTTTCTCCCAAGCTGGGATTCAAGAAGGCTTACAAAATCTCATTATAAAATACAAAGCAATGAAAATTAGTTAAAAACAATAAATTAAAATGCAATATAAAACGCATTTAGAGCCAATGTTAAAACGCCGATTGCCCAATGCTCAT